CAAGTGTGAATAGAGAAGGGCTCCGGGACAAGTGTGAAGACAGTTGTAACGCAGATGCTGTGAAGAAACCTCACAGCGTCTGCACTAGCAGCCCGCACACCAGAGTGGCTTTTCCAACAGCCGGTGAGCTGAGGATGGTATTTACGTCATTAAAGGGCTGTAAGCAGATCAGAAAGAAATTGCAGAGAGGCAGGATGTGCCATGGAAAGCTTAGAAGTCCCTCTGTGACCCTTTCCAGCTTGCAGATCCCTGATCTCTGATATTCAGGGAATATAATTGTATTCTTTCTATGAATAGTAAACATTTTTCCCTTGGCATTTCATACCCATACTTAGTGACCTTTTAAAAATGGTAATATGTTTTCCGTCGTATGGGTGTATTAACATTTAGTCATGTTTACTGAATTTTTGCTTTTTAAACAGTACTGGGACATTTGGGTAATGTCTAAGTGTCCTTGCTTCAAGTGAACACTTTACCCTGCTTTTCTTACTTGTGCCGGCCTTGGCCTGTTCAGTCAGGTAGGCCTCTTTAGGTATCTGCTGCTGTGTAACAACTGAAGAAATTCGTGCCTTAAACCACTTATTTTGCTCCCAGATCCGCAGTCTGGCCGGGGGTTTGTGGAAACAACTTGTGTCTGCCGGGTGTCACTTTTGGAGGCTCAGAGGCTGCAGGTCTGGCTGCCTCCTGGGATCAGCTGGGGCTGTGAAGAAGACAGTGAGGTCGCTCCATGCAGCTCTTGTCCTCTGTGCTATATGATGGTGGGATTCCCAAGAAGAGCATCCCAAGAGGATGGGGGAAGCCGTACTCTGTTTATGACTTCATGCCGTCCTAGTCACCCAGAATTCTTTGGGTCATGGTGACAGATCTGCCATGTGTGAAGGTGCTGGGAATATACGGCACACTTCTTCATTGTGGTGTGATCGCATCACACGGTATGCAAGAGAGCGTGGGCATGAGATGCACCAGTGAGCTGCATTTGAAAACCATTCTGCCACATAGAGGAGTGTTTGGTCTTGATATGTTTAATGGTGGTCATGGTTCTTTTTGTGTGTTCAGTGACGGTTTATTTCTTCTCCCATGGCCTGTCTTTTCATAATCTCCACCCCCCACCCCCACCCCCTTTTCCTGGGCTTTGCATTAGCGATTGCTGTGTATGTCGTTGATCGGGAATGGCTCTTGTAAAATTAAACAAATTGGATTCAAAGTTTGTTTTGGAAATACCTCACTGATGACTTGAGAACTGTGTTAGACTTTTTGTTGCTGTAATGAACTATCAGGCAGAACATTCTAATTATCCTCTGTCCATCCTTCTTCCTCCTCCTCCTTTTGGTACAGTCAGGGAGCCCAGGCTGGCCTCTAACTCCTGATTGTGTCCACTTACCAAGCACTAGGACATTTGCTGCTGTGTCCAGCCTCACAGGACAGCTGAAAAGGAGGAAAGATTCATTTGACTCAGAAGTCTTAGTTCACAGTTCTTGCTCTGTTGATCCTGCACCCATGGCTTACCATGCTTTTATGGCAGCAGCGGTGTGTGGCCGAAGCTAGTCACCTCATGACAGACAAGAAGCTGAGAGGGACAGGACTGAGGCAGAGATAAGACACCCCTAAGGACATGACCCAGTGACCTACTTCTAGGCTCTACTTCCTAAAGTCCCCAGAACCACTTAGAATACAGCACTAGCTGGGGACCAAGCCTTCACTCCATGAATCTCTTGGGGGCACTTCATATCCAAATCATAACAGGAGTCATCGAAATTGCCTGTGGGATGGTTTTGTCTGGTAATGGCGGGGACCCACAGTCCTTTGGCTTTTAAACAAGAGCACAGGAAGGGGATGGTAGAAGAAAAGCATGGTCTTTGGCTCCTCAGCCTCCCGAGTGAGTCTCCATCAGTGGTGAGGCATGAGATAAGGATGCCTCACTTCCTTTGGGCACCGTTACGCCTGAGAAGCCAGAACACTTCAGGTACCAGGGAGGGAAAGATGGCACCTGGCAGGGACAGAGGAGCCCAGTCGGGTGTTGTCACTATTGAAAATCGCTTTGGGTTTCTGTTAGTCTAGTGATTTGACTGACTATAAAGCCTTGTATGCGGTGTGCGCTGAGGTTCCAATTCATATAACAGAAGTGGATTCACCCAACAGAGATAGGGATATTTAAAAGCATTTATGTGAGCTGGCCTTGGTGGCTTGTGACTGGAATCCGAGAAGTGAGACTGAGGCAGGAGGATCTCCCGAGCCCAGGAGTTGGAGACCCACCTGTTCAATATAAAGAGACCTTGGCTCAAAACCAGACCAGACCAAATCAAACCAAATCAAATTATTTTTTTTTTGTGCTTTGCTACTAAGTGCACTGTGGGATTAAAAATCAAAAACAAAACAAAATCAAAACTGTCTTTTTTGTCTGCAGTGGTGAAGATGTAATCTAGGGCCTTGGGTTGGGTGTGGATGTGTTAGGCAAGTAAGTGCTCTACCACTGAGCTACATGCCCAGCCCTGGATAAATTAGTTAACAGTTACTGTACAAAGTCCTTTCCAAACCCGTGGTCTTTGACTAATTCATAGGGATGAAGTTACTGTGAATTTGTAGGGTTGTAATGACTACTTGTTGATATGACTGAATCCCAGTCTTGACTCTTGTGGCCCTTTCGTTCTCTGGTTGCACTGTGATGGAAAGATGGCAGCCAGCATCTCTGGTCCTGGACCCTTCCCAGCTTCAGGGCCAGTGGAGTAGGCTGAGTCATCCCCTCCAGCCCCAGTTATTTCTTTGTTTGAGTGCTGGGAATTGAACCCAGTACCTTGTGCATGCTCGGCAAGCACTCTGCCACTGGACTACATCCCCAGCCCTCTGCATGGTCTTTTGATTGATCCTTGAAGAGATCAGATTGCGGGAGCTTCACAGACAATGATGGGGTTATATGCACTTTCTTGTAGAGGGTTTGGGCAATGTTTCCCATTGGCAGTCATGCAACAAATGAAGTGTGGTTGTTGTTTACAGAAGGTTCTTGTCACCAGGCTGTGGCGGCGCACACCTTTAATCCCAGAACTTGGGAGGCAGAGGCAGGCGGACCTCAATGAGTTCATCTACAAAGTGAGTTCTAGGATAGCCAGGACTGTTACACATCAAAACCCTGTCTTGAAAAACCAAAAATAAATAAATAAATAAATAAAATAAAAAAATAAAATAAAATAAAAAAATAAAATAAAAAAAAAATTAATGCATCTGCTATGGCTAGTGTGTAGAGGTCAGAAAACAACTTTAGAGTCGCTTCTCTCTTTTTACCGTGAAGGTTCCCAGTATTGAACTCAGGTCATCAGACTTGGTTAGAAGTCCTGAATGAAGGAGTTAGTGAAGCAGGTAACAGGAAGTGGCTATGATCTAGGGTGTGAAAGGCTGTTAAGTAAGCGTAAGCCGTTGAGAAGTTCGTAAATGTATTTGGAGCTTCATACTTAAGCATTAGGGAAGCTCCCTAGACAACGGCCTTCTTTCGTAAGGAACTGTGGTCTGTACACAGGGAGAGAGCATTTGGTTGGCATGGAAATGGACAGAAGGCCTAGGCTCTTAGCTGACGCCTGCATAGATGAACATGGATGTTCCTCAGGAGAATGGGCTGGCTGTCAGCTGGAAGGGAGGGCGTGAAGTGTACTTAACACTGAGTACTTGGTGCCTGTTAAAAATTTATTTATTTATGTGTGTGTGTATGATGTGTGTGTGGGCAGGTCAAGGTCAGAGGACAGCTTTGTGGAGTTGAGGTGAGCCCTGGGGATTGAACTCAGGTTGTCAGGCTTGTTCAGCAAGTGCTTTATCCACTGAGCCATGTTGCTGACCTCTGTTAAGTCTCTAAGAGAACTCACTTTGAGGGTGAACACGCACTGGCATCATTATTTTTGAGAAACTGTCTTGAGATGTAACCCTGGCTGGCCTAGAACTTGATCGTAGTCCAGACTGGCCTCGGACATGTGGTGATCCTGTCTCTTGTCTGCCAGGTGCTGGGGTTACAGGTGTGTGCCACCGTGCCTGGCTTCGCCAGTACGGTCTTTCTGCTATGACGTGACTGGGCTAGCTTTTCATCTTCTGTATTCTCGTTGAAGCTCTACTTGTGGAGTTTTTGTGTTTCTCACTCGGTGACTCCACATAATTCAAGCATTGTGGCAAGTGAAACTGAAGGACGTTAGCCTTCATTAGCAAATAGAGGCTGGCCGACTGCTGCTGAAGGGGGCTATTGGCTGCCTGGAATGTCAGCGAGTTACTGCTTTTAGACATTTTTCTTTGCCTATGGCCTCTTGTAGTTGACAAACGATCTGGTATCTGGACTGCACTAACAACAGCGGGGTATGTTTGTCTCACCATCTGAAGCCTGTGCGGAAGCCAAGTCTCCGCTTAGTTTATGTCCCAGGGCTAGGAACACCCTTGCAGGTGGATTGCACTTCCATAGTATTTGTGCTTTCTCAACAAGATTTCAGGGACTGAGAACGTGGATCAGTTGGTAAAGTGCTTGCTACCCAAGCGTGAGGTCCTGGGTTTGGGTTCCCGGCAGCCATGTACAAAGCTAGGTGTGGTGGAGTGCCCTGGGGGCGCTGTGTTCCTGTAGTCCAGCTCTGGGGAGATGGAGACAGGCAGATCCCCAGAGCTCACCAACCAGCCAATCCGTCCAGCTGAACAGTGAGCCCCAGGTTCAGGGAGAGACCATGTCTCAAGAAATAAGATGAAGAAGTGATTGAGGAAGATACTCACCACTGATCTTTGGTTTCCACTGCACACAGAACAAAATATTTCATACCTGTTTCCATTCCATGCCGGTAACTACTCTTTACTCGAGAAGAGGCAGGTATGCTTCCTGTTTGGCCAAGGACGTGCTGAGGCATAAGAGCGAGTCTGGGTTATGTTGTGGGCTCAACAAACAGTGCCTGGGACAACCTCTCATGCTCCATTTTTATTTGAACTGCTGCTTTCAAAACATAGAGGACTGAAAAGCTGATGCCTGTTCACTTGTGGTTCTGTTTTAGCGCCGTCTTCGACATCTCCGGAACATTGCTGCTCGGAATATCGTCAATAGAGATGGCCACCAGCTCCTCGATACCTACTTCACTCTTCATTTGTGTGGTAATGAAAAGACACACAAAGGTAAGGACTCGGCCTCGGGCTTGTCACGTTTGTGCTCTTGTGACGCGAGTGCTTTGCAGCGCCGCCTCGTACTATAGGAAGTTCATCTCGAGTGGGCGATGCGTGTTAGAGACGTGGCCGATGGGCACTTCCCTGGGGAATAGCCTTTCATTGGTACGTTTCTCTCCCCTTTGTTAAGGTTACTGTCACTGTTCCTGTTGCTAGGTAAATTTGTTCCCCTTTTATAAATGTTACTATTCTAGTTCCTGACATTAAAAACAAATGATGAGAGTCCAGTGTATTATACTAATTGTATATTTCTTTAAAATATTGCCTTTTCTAGTGGCCAAGCTTATACAGCCAAGTTGGTATATTCTCATATTTAGATTTATGTATATGGAGTCATTTTCAGAATGGCTTGGTTTCTTCCAATTCAGTTTTTTATTTTATTTTTTTTAAAGATTTATTTATTTATT